TTCCGGGACCGCTCGCGAGATCTCGGCAAAAAGTCTCACGATTTATTTCCAGTTTTAATTTGTGTTGCTTCTAATTAAATGATAAAAAGCAGTTGCAAATGTTGTACAAAATAAAACCACCACAACTCATCTTTGCACCAATAAAAGTAAAAACACTTTCTACCAAATTATTTGTAATATCTAATTATATTAATATTATAATAACTTGCATTGGAAAGGATTCCGGGACCGCTCGCGAGATCTCGGCAAAAAGTCTCACGATTTATTTCCAGAACATGATGCATGATGGGATACACTTAGCCTTGAATAGCGCTCTGGAGCGGTATTCGAGATAGTGTGGATTTAGTATCCATTAAGGGCACTGCACTTTGGCATTTTGAAGACATGGGACAGACTTGCACACTTCCCGTCGCACGCACGCACACTCAAGTGGCCAAGACCGCAAGTGTGGGTATTTGGACAAGACAATAGAAGTCACTTTGTACAAACCAAGCCTCTTTCTATTGGTCAGCGTGGCAAACCCACAGCCAATTTGAGCTAGCGGATTAAATCTTTCACCCTCACATGAAGTTCTGTATTCAGTGGGTTCCTAGATTTGGCCTGCGAAAGTTCACTAAATAGTAGACCGCAGCTTTAGTACAAAGTTCTCACCTGTTTGGAAAGATCGTCGTAGATGATGAGGGCGTGTTTGCCGTTGTCTCTGAAGTACTCGCCCATGGAGCAGCCGGAGTATGGAGCCAGGTACTGCAGGGGAGCGGCGTCAGACGCGGTGGCGGACACCACGATGGTGTACTTCATGGCCTCGGTGTCCGTCAGCCTCTTCACCAGCTGGGCCACGGTGGATCTCTTCTGACCGATGGCCACGTAGATGCAGTACAGCTTCTTTTTCTCTTCAGTGCCATCGTTGAAGCGTTTCTGGTTGATGATGGTGTCGATGGCAATGGCGGTTTTGCTGGAGGAAACCAATTGAAATGGATGACCATGCACAAATGAAGCAAGCATTTAAATTAATCAAGTCACTACCTTACCCAGTCTGTCGGTCTCCAATGATCAGCTCTCTCTGGCCACGGCCAATGGGCACCAGACTGTCCACGGCTTTGATGCCGGTCTGCATGGGCTCCCTCACAGAGATGCGGGGGATGATGCCAGGGGCCTTCAGACCCACACGCCTACGCTGCTTAGAGCCCAGGGGTCCCTTTGGAGGAGAAACGGAGACCAATTGGTCAACTCAAGTATGACAACTATTGGATAAAGAAATTAAGAAGAGCTAAAACTATGCAAGTATCCAGTTGGTGGTCAGACCTTGCCATCAATGGGGTTTCCCAGAGCATCCACAACACGGCCGAGCAGCTCCTCTCCGACAGGAACATCCACGATAGCCCCTGTTCTCTTGACAATGTCACCCTCTTTGATCAGCTTGTCGTTACCAAACACCACAACACCAACGTTATCAGGCTCCAAGTTCAGAGACATGCCCTATGGAGAGAAACGATAAGAGTATTAAATGTAAAAGCCATCAGTTAACCAAAAGCAATACGGTGACAGGATTGCATACTCATTAAAACCCAGTTCATTTGTAGTAAATATTCGTACAACCATTTAATTAGGCAGACTTAGGGCTGGACGATATGGCCAAAATTTATATCACGATATATTTCTTCATTTCGGTCGATACGATAGAATTCCGATATCGATATGAACACCATTTAAAAAGCCTTGTAAAAACTGCCAAGAACCCCCACAACAGATGTCTGTGCATACAAACTTATGAAAAATGAATTTGCCAAGTCTGACACCTCATATAAAACTAGGGATGCACGATATATCGGCCACCATATCGGTATCGGCCGATAAATGCTCATTTTTTCTGTTATCGGTATCGGCCTGATAAGAAAATTTGGCCAATATCTTAAAGCCGATAAATAATGCATTATTTCCTTCAGAGACACTTCAGATGCGCGCTGTTCGTTTGCAGCCTTTTGTGCAATTGTACGTTGGATCAAATAAATGCAGGCTTGGTGAGCAGAAGAGAATTCTTAAAAATAAATTAAAAAAAACAACACACAACATTAAACATCTTACTGTTCAAAAACATTTGACTGGTAATGTAGGGCGGCTGATTATTGTTATAGATTGAAACATAATATACGATCAGAGTCAATCAAAGCCAAAACTTATGTAGATTGTGCGCATTAAGCAGAATATCAATCATCTTGAAGCATCTGGCTCAGCAATGACCTCTTGACCCCTTGCTAACTCACCTTCAGGCCGGAGGAGAATTCCACCATCTCTTCAGCCTGCACGTTCCTCAGCCCGTACACACGAGCGATACCGTCACCGATGGACAGCACACGGCCCGTCTCCTCCAGATCAGCACCAGTATCAGCTCCAAGAATCTTCTCCTCCAGAATACTGGACACCTCCGCTGTGCCTGAGAAATAATGCAAAGCATTTTGAGTGTGCATGACTCAATGCAAAAAAAAAATAATGCAATAATCCAAGAACTTTAAATGAAAAAACAAACCCAAATGCAAAAGGAAAAGTAGTATTTAATAACCTGTCTTCTGCAGCCATGGTCTGGCAGTGTGCAGGTTCTTTGCTCCAACGCATGCAGCAGCAACATTCTTGGAAACCTGCAACAGCAAACATACTGGCTAGAATTCCACAATGATAATGTCTGTGATTAACATACACCTCAAGATCCAGCCATAAAAATCCAAGCTTGTTGCATGTGAGCCCTTGACCTTCATGTGTGATCAGCAACCACAATACTGGAGCTAACCCCATGATTTCCTTCAAATAAGATCTTAAAAGCAGACCAACTACAAATACTAAACAAAGTGTGGTTGTTTAACTTCTCATCTGCAATCAAGCATTGTCTGATTGCCTTTAGTTATCAAAAACTGCGGCACGAAGCACCACGTCGTCATCCAAACTTCCGCATAAATGAAGATTAAACTACCGTGCAACAAAAAAAGTGACAGATTATGGACGCGCCAAAACATTAAACACTAAAAAGCCACCAAGTTCACAGTGAAGTTAGCATGTCATACGCCCAGGCAGCATTTCCTGACCTTCAATTGGGAAAGTCATTCATTGAGCACAACCTTGCTAAACATCCAACCGTACGCTTTTCTAATTTAAATACAAACTCAAAACACGTAGATTCCGTTCCCTTAAACTACACATAGCTGTAGCTGAAAACGAGACTCAAATAACGCTAAACGAGACGCAGCAGACGCGGGCCCTTCATAATGCAAGATGGCGCCGCGCACCCTCACGCCATTTACAGGCGCTGACATTCACCGGCTCCGCGTTCGTTAAAACACCACAAAATGAGACTCACGAATCCGGCCCGTCTGGGCAGGGTGCGGGCCAGAGCCGCCGCGACGCGAACGGAGAGCATGTTTACGGATAGCTTGTGTAGCGGGAGCTCGAGCTTGTGTCCTCCTGCAGCGGCCGGCTGGAGTGAAGGAAATGGAGGTCGCGAGCGCAGCTCATATAGGAAAGGTCAGCGACTGACCCGGATGTAGTTCGGCGACACGACGACGAGACTTTTTTTGTTCACGTAAATTCGAACATATTATAAAGTCAAGGTTATGTCCATTACACGGCGTTTGTATTGATTACTATATACATATACACATATATATGCACATTTTATGACTGATTACTTCTTTTCAGAAAGTAAAAGAATTCTGACCAACATTAATTCTTTTATAAATATATTTGTAAATAGGCATTTTATTACCATTTTTATTATTTATAAATTTTTTATTATTATTATATTTTTATGAATTTACAGTATATATTATATGTCCTTTAATTTAAAGCTATAAAAGTTACATTTCTTTATTTTAATTAATTTGTTTTATATATATATATATCAGTAAGGTTTTTAATATTTTTTACAGAAGTTTCTTGTGCTTATCAAGGCTGTATTTATTTGATCAAAAATACAGAAAAAACCCTGTTATTTTGTGAAATATTATTGCAATTTAAAATAACAGTTTCTATTTTAATATACTTTAAAATATAATTTATTTCTGTGATGCAAAGCTGAATTTTCAGCGTCATTGCTCCAGTCTTTTTACTGTACTTTTTTTTCAGGATTCTTTTATGAATATAAAATTTAAAAAAACGCATTTATTCAAAATGGAAATCTTGTGTTACAATATACACTACCGGTCAAAGGTTTGGAGTCAGTACATTTTTTTCTTTATTTTTTTGAAAGTAATGAATACTTTTATTCAGCAAGGATGTGTTAAATGAATAAAAAGTGAAAGTAAAGACTCATATTGTTAGAAAAGATTTTAATTGTAAATAAATGATGTTCTTTTTAACGTTTTATTCATAAAAGAATCCAGAAAAAAGATTCCAAAAAAAAAACTTGAAGCAGCACAACAGTTTCCAGCACTGATAATAAATCAGCATATGAGAATGATTTCTGAAGGATCATGTGACACTGAAGACTGGCGTAATGATGCTGAAAATTCAGCTTTGATCACAGGAATAAATTATATTTTAAAGTATATTAAAACAGAAAACCAATATTAGAAATTGAAATAATAACTCACAATATAATTTTTTTTTCTGTACTATTGATCAAATAAATACAGCCTTGATGAGCACAAGAGACTCCATAAAAACATTAAAAATCGTTCACTTTTGAATGGCAGTATATATTTATATATATATATATGGCTGAATTATATCCCATAGTGCTAAAGTTTTTGTGGTTCCAATAAATGGTTATTTATCCTTTAAAAGCATGCTGAGCTTAAATTATTGTTTAAAAGAAAATATTGTACTGTGAAAATGTATATATATTAACAATTATTAATGCATTGTTTCTTTTTCCTCTTGAAATTCCCTTGAAATGTTTTGTATGTTGTAATTGGGCGGTGCTTCTGCATCCCAGAATCTCATTGGTCGATTTGTCATTTGAGCAGCCAATGAATAATGCGCTTTGAGACCCCGGAAATAGAAGAACAAATTCAGTGGCGGGACGTTTAGTTGTTGCTTTAGAGACACAGTTAGTGGAAAAATGTGCGAGAAAAGCAAAATCGTGAGTTAATGTCTTTGTAGAATACATTAGCGTTATATACACTAAGCTAATAAAGTACTGAATACGATGTAAATCGCTTCAAACGCGTAAACGTTCACTGCAGTTCCGTTGTTTGTTTATCTGTACTAAATACACTTACTAGTCTAATTATACTAGATTCATTGCGTACACTTTTTTAATGTTTTTAATGTAATTTTAATGATCTTATGCATCACGCCCTTATATGGTAGATGTGAACAAAACAGAAAGAACAAAATACCTTGGCACTATTATGTTTTTGAACATGTCCTATAGCAATACCATGGTATTCTTTATAGTTTGGGAAAAAATGGCAATGCATATGGCAGTCATTCAGAATCATATCAACGTACCATGATGCTCTGACACAAACAACTTGGTTTTATTCTAGTAAATATTGATTCTTGAATCTCAAAACACCTGCATGTAGCATTTACAGTGCATCTGCATATACTGTGTAATTGCAGGTGAGCCAGTGGCTCAAGAAGGTGTTCGGGCAGCAGCCGGTGCCGGAGTTTGAAGTGAACACGCGCACAGTGGAGATTCTGTACGAGCTGGCGGAGAGCAGTGAGATGAGATGCAGAGAGGCAGAGATGCTCATCGAGGACCACAAGCAGAAAACAGAAGAGTACAGCAGCGATGGTGAGACTCTGAGACAGTCACTTTGGAAGAAGTAGTCTGACAAATGCATAACGATTCTGTAAGTGTACAGTTTTTTTTGTTGTGGAATAAATTAATTTGGGGTTTGTGGTCCTTGACAGGAGCTCATCTCCAAGAAGTGCTTCTACAGGAGGTGGGACTTCAGGCGGGAGGACTTTCCAAACCCACAGTGGACCTGCTGTCGGCGCTGGAGGAAACTGCTGAAGTGCTCAAACTCAGAGACACGTCACTTGGGAGGTGAAATAATGCTCAGACATAAACACATCATATACAGCACGAGATGATTTAGGCATGTTCCTGAGTCGAGATGCATTGTGGTTCTGTGGTTCCTGGAACCTATTCTGGAATCTTAAAGGAACACGCCACTATTTTTGAAAATAGGCTCTAATTTTCCAACTCCCCTAGAGTTAAACCGGGGTGCCCAAACTCGGTCTTGGAGGGCTGGTGTCCTGCAGAGTTTAGCTCCAACTTGCCTCAACACACCTGCTGGGAAGTTTCTAACATACCTACTAAGAGCTTGATTAGCTGATTCAGGTGTGTTTAATTAGGCTTGGAGCTAAACTCTGCAGGACACCAGCCCTCCAGGACCGAGTTTGGGCACCCCTGAGTTAAACAGTTGAGTTTTACCATTTTCGAATCCATTCAGCCGATCTCCGGGTCTGACGGTAGCACTTTTAGCTGTAGCTTAGCATAAATCATTGAATCTGATTAGACCGTTAGCATCTCACTCAAAAATGGCCAAAGAGTTTCTATATTTTTCCTATTTAAAACTTGACTCTTCTGTAGTTACATCGTGTACTAAGACTGACGGAAAATGAAAAGTTGTGATTTTCTAGGCCGATATGGCTAGGAACTATACTCTCATTCCAGCGTAATAATCAAGGAACTTTGCTGCCGTACCATGGGTGCAGCAGGCGCAATGATATTACGCAGCGCCTGAAAATAGGCTAACTTCTGTCAACATAACCAACGTGACCACCTGCTTGCACAGGGAGCGTGCTGGGGACTGTTTTCAGGCACTGCACTATTTATTTTCACAAAATTGTGGAATGTTCCTTTAACCCTGAAATCGGGTTAAACTAAGTCTGACATTTGCATTGTGATTTTTGTGGTTGATTTCACACTCTTGGCTGTCCAGCTATATGCCTGCAATCAATAAACTGACCAATGACGTGCTGGAGGCAGAGAAAACTGACCGGAGGTTGCAGTGGGAACTTTCTGCTGTTAGGAAGAAAATGACTGCAGCGGTTGTTCTTCGGAAGAAACTTGAGGAGTAAGAAAACACAAGAGATCATTTATGCATATGTCACATTGCTGTTATTGTGTTATTAACTGTATACATTTTCTTACCTGTCATGGTTTTTATTCTGCTTTCTTAAGTCCTCTTTCTACTGCACAACTGTATCTAAATCAGGGGGTTTCAGTCTTTTAGATGCCTTGAACCCCCAAATATGATTATTTTCATGTGAGGGCCCCTCATACAAAAATTTAAAAAGCTCCCATTTTTTATAAACTCCAAATTTATAGTCTGAAAAAAGAATATTATAAATATGTCTGAAGTATTATTTGGAAAATATTTAGTTTCTATTAAGTTACATTATTATATATTTTTCCTACACACTATAGCACTGTACTAAAACTGTTAGGTGTATTATTTATTTAAAAAATTTTTTTATTTGTTTTAATTAAATTTTTATGTATATTATTCTAATTGAATCTATTTAATCATTTTTACATGTATTTAATTTAAATCTAAAGCTTGCATTTGTTGCGGTTGTTCTTCGGAAGAAACTTGAGGAGTAAGAAAACACAAGAGATCATTTATGCATGTCACATTGCTGTTATTGTGTTATTAACTGTATACATTTTCTTACCTGTCATGATTTTTATTCTGCTTTCTTAAGTCCTCTTTCTACTGCACAACTGTATCTAAATCAGGGGGTTTCAGTCTTTTAGATGCATTGAACCCCCAAATATGATTATTTTCATGTGAGGGCCCCTCATACAAAAATGTAAAAAGCTCCCATTTTTTATAAACCCCAAATTTATAGTCTGAAAAAAGAATATTATAAATATGTCTGAAGTATTATTTGGAAAATATTTAGTTTCTATTAAGTTACATTATTATATATTTTTTCCTACACACTATAGCACTGTACTAAAACTGTTAGGTGTATTATTTATTAAAAAAAAAAAATTTATTTGTTTTAATTACATTTTTATGTATATTATTCTAATTGAATCTATTTAATCATTTTTACATGTATTTAATTTAAATCTAAAGCTTGCATTTGTTTTGCAGTGATCTGATGAAGATCACACATATACAGCAGGTGGAAGCAGCTACAGCGGAGGAGAGGCTTCTGAACATGGACTTCATGAAGAATAAATCCAGAGATCTCACTTGCAGGAATAAGATCGCACAGGTGCGTGTCACCATTTTCATCCAGTTGTCAAATTATAGTTTAATATCTTTCATGCAGCCTTATACAAACAGAATCTGTGTGTTTGTGACAGGAAAAGCTGGATTCACGGCAGATGGAGTTTATTCGTCGAATCTGCCGGGCGTGCCGTTCTCGACCCCGCCGTCTCAGCTCACTCTAGCCCGGCCTCAGCTCACTATCCCGGCCTCAGCGCACGCTAAGCCGGGGCTTCCCCTTACGCTAGGCCGCTGTGTTTTTCGTTGTGAAAGCGAAACTACTTCCATTTGGTCTTCCAAAAGAGAATACGACTACAAATCAGTGGTTAAGTTGTATTTACAACACTGTTCCAGAACAGTTTAACCCAAATATTCAGATGTGTGCAGCACATTTTATGGAGGACTGTTTCCTGATCCTGGTAGAGTAGACTACAATGCCGGCTGTTCTGACTCACAGCCTGTAAGTACGTTTTCATTTAAAGGATTTGCCACTGATGATTCAAACGTGAGTTTTGAGCAGTGTAAAGTAGCGCTTGTTGTTTGTCATTTCTCTGATCACAAATGCAGACAGAGTTTTATGTTTATGCGGCGCGATACAATGCAATGCAACACGTAAAAAGACAGTATAAGTCATTATAATCCGTAATTAAGTCCCCACTGAATGCAACAAATGCCTCGTTTATAATGGGTTTGAATGTTTTTGAATCATCGCTCCGGCCTGACAGGGCATCAACAGTATGGTGAGGGGCGTAACATTTCCGTCTTACGCTTGAGATATTTGGCCAATCACAACGCACTGGATAGCTGGCCAATCACAGCACACCTCGCTTTTTCAGACCGATGAGCTTTGTAAAAATCGACACGTTTCAAAAAGGCGGGGCATAGAGGAGAAACAATAATGTACAGTATGTGGAAAATAATGTGTTTTTTTTACTTTAAACCGCATAAACACATTTCATTACACCAAATACACAAAATAATGTGTTCTTTTTAGCAAGATCATATGACCCCTTTAAAATGTTCATAAAGGAATATGCACTGTAACAGAACTGCACTTACAGGCTGGTATGAAATTGAATTGCATCTTTTTTCTCATCTTTTATTCTATACTTAGAAAATCGCAGCTCTAAAAGAGGAAACACTACCTTTGAAGAAGAAACTAGAGCCGTATAGTGATTTGAGCGCTGTAAGTACAACTTGCATGAAGATTTTGACAGAATGACAGAATTGTTTTATTGAACATGGAAACCATCTTGTGAGTTTTGCATAGGAAAGCACCGCTTGCTTTTGTTGTTTGATGCGTGGGTTGGGTAATAAATAATTATTTTGTCATAGCACATTGCACAGTATGAAGGACACATTATTTAATAAAATAATCACATCCACGTCTAAATAAATAATTGCTAATTGTTTTAAAATTCTATCATTGTTCTTTTAACCCTTTTTCTCAGTTTATTATCACTATTATATACTGTAGGTTACAGGTTATTATATATAATTAAAACTAAATTACTTGAAATAATTGTAATTTAGATTGACTTAATGTACTAAAATAACTAATACTAAAACAAAAATAAGAATTAAATTTAATAAAAACTACATAGACATAAAAAAAAAGTCATAAACACCCAACAGAATTACTAAAGCTTTAAGTAAAATGAAAATGGAAAGTATAAACTGAAAAACTGATTCAAAATATTAATAAAAACTATAATAGTATGTCAATAATACTTAAATAATGGTTTTCATTACGGTTGTACTTTTTTCTTCTTCTTCAGAGTCCAGCACTTGCACGGGTGAAAATCGAGGAAGCCAAACGAGAGCTGGTCATTTTCTTTATTAATTTAGTTTTATTTTGCCATTTATTATTATTATTATTATTATTAAATATGATTTCTCTTTGTTGGATATAGTTTTGTGAAACGTTTTCTTTTCCCCCAAGGCTGCCCTGGATGCCCAGCTGGAGCAGAAAGTGGACTTCATGAACACTTTATCTCGATAATTAACAAAAAATATATTTAGAAAATGAACAATGAAATAAAAGCGTGTTGATAATTGTAATAGACGTGACTTCTAAGTTGTGCGGTGCTGTTTGTAATAAACGCAATTCCTCTCCGAATCTCACGGTGGCGCCTTCTGTTTTTCCCGCCTCCGCCGCAGCGGAAATGACGACTACGCGTTTGTTCCAGCGACGGCTAGTGGGGACATTTTAAACGAGCAAACCGTGCTAAAGCGGTCGGAAAGTCGAGAACACATAACAGTTGTTCCATAACATTTCAGTTAACTCCATATCTTCCTCATGAATATGGTGCTGCGAGCCTGAGATGTTCCAAAGGACACACACATGAGGACAGATTTGAACCAGGTAACGTTAAGCTGCTGTCGACGGTTATCGAGCGCGCTCTTATCTCTGCGCCCTTCCATTTTGAGCCTCCGCTGCAGTTTTGACCCAAACCTACTTTCACTTTAATTAATGCACGCCTTTATACATGCATGAACGCGGGTTATATCCTCGCGACGTGCAGACGCACCGGTTAAAGTGCAGCAGCTGTGCAGCTTCCAGCAACAGTGTGTCGCAGGACGAGTGTTTGTGCTGCAGTGTCTGTATTCGCATAGTGCAGCCTTTATTTCGCTTGTTTTACTTTCCCCCCCCATTTCTGTAATTATTTAAGAGCCGTATTCCGTTGATGCATTTGAGTTGCGTTGACTCGCACGCACGCACTATGACTGATGAGCTGATTCTGGGATTTTGAGGAAGTATGCGTTGATGTTTTTGTTGCTGTCGGAATGAATGCGGGATCTGCTTTAAAACGTGTAAGGAGCTTTCGGAATCTATAGTTTAACTTCTCGAATTCAAAGCTGACATGCTATCTAAAATCATGATGCTAGAGTTTATCATCAGTTTCTGATCTGTGGCAGTCAGTCTGTGCGTGTTTGGCTTATAATAATACATGTTGCATTTGGTAGTAAGAAATGTAAAGTGAATGGGGGAAGGGACATTTTCCAAATTTAACGTTCAAACTATCAGTACAAGTTCTTGTTTGTTTCTTGTTGTACTGTTAATTAGGAAAAATAAATTATTACAGCAATAAGCCCCAAGAAGCCGTGGTTTACAGTGAATCTGTAACGGCTAAGGGGCGTTGTTAGGCACGACACGAAGCGGGGCTAATTGCTTTTATAAAACGGTTATTCCATATACGTAGTAAGGTTTCACAGAATAAAACAGAGCAAATAAAGTGTAATGATATAAATAAAAACTGTATTCTTCCGCCAAACAATGTAGTTCCTCAGAAACAGTTGCGGTTCCAACAAAGTGGTTGCCGAGCAACACACAGAAGTAAACACAGGTGTATGTTTGTAGAGTCATTTACTACAGCTTCGAACGCGGCTCAACCAATCAGAATCAAGGACCGGAACTCTCCGTTTTTATATATATATATATATACATACACACACACATACATGCATACAGTGCCGTTCAAAAGTTTCAAATCAGTAGGATTTTTAATGTTTTAAGGAAGATTCTTTTGATCATTAGGGCTGCATTAATTTAATCAAAAACTGAAAAAGAGACAAATTTTGTGAAATATTATTTAAAATAAGTTTTTTTTTCATTTTGATACACTTTAAAATATATTATTTCTGAGATGCGCAGCTGTATTTTCAGCATCGTTCCTCTAGTCTTCAGTGTCACATGATCTTCAGAAATCATTCTGATATGCTGATTTGTAATCAATATTGGAAACAATTGTGCTGCTTTATTATTATTATTTGTTTATTTTTTTGGACCTGTGATACTTTTTTCAGGATTATTTGATAAATAAAAAGTTAAAAAGAACAGTGTTTAGGGCTATTCAAAGTAGAACTTGTGTTATACACTACTATTCAAACGTTTGGGGTTAATACATTTTTTCTTTTCTTTTTTTTTTTTTAAGAAATTAATACTTTTATTCAGTAAGGATGTGTTCAATGGATAAGGGATAGTAAAGACTTTGTTAGCTGTTTTGAATAAATGCTGTTCTTTTTAACTTTTTATTCATCAAAGAATCACAACAGTTTCAACACCGATAATAAATCAGCGTATTAGAATGATTTCTGAAGGATCATGTGTCACTGAAGACTGAGTAATGATGCTGATTAAAATATAATTTGTGATGCAGCAGTTTTCAAGTATATTAAAATAGGAAATCAATATTAGAAATTGCAATAATATTTCACAATACTACCTTTTTTTTCCTGGTTTAAAAAAAAAAATTATCATCAAATAAATACAGCCTTGACGAGCATAAGAGACTTACTAAGTTTTTACATTAAAAAACATAAAAAATGTTACTGATCCCAAATTTTTGAATGGCAGTGTATATATAAAACAGTATACAAAAATCAAATTCCTAATTTTTGATGCCATTATTTTGTGTGTACATATGTATTTCAAGTATTGAGCATCAGATTTCTGTTTTTTGGTGTTAATTGTAAAACGGTCTTGAGTTACAATAGTAAAGTTTTGATTTTGCTTGTCTGGAGAGAAGAATTTAAATATTTGTAGGATTTTGTTTCACAGGTTATGGAAAACTTATGAGAGCAATTTAAAATTTTGATTTTTTTTCCCATGCTGTAAAAGTCATGGAATTAATCAAATAAAGTCATGAATATTTATATAGTCAGTATAAACTTTTATATATATTTTTGGTTTGAAGTTATGAATATTTTTATAGTTGGTATGAACTTTTCTAGTTATGCTTACATTGAAATATTGTGATCTAGGATTTAAATCTATTGCATATATGTTGCTGTTTGTGAGATCAGTCTCTATTAAATGGTTTTTAATATAGCAAAACCCTATTTGTAAGTTTTCATGTGTTGTGACCGAGGCCTCTTCAAACACTTGATCGCAGCAAAAATTTGTTTATGGACAAAGTTTTGAAAGCATTTCAAGGCCAGGCTGTTGTGAAATGCAGCATTGTGCATTGGAGTCTGATGACATGTAGAAAGGTTGATAAGAGCTTCACTGGTGCGTGATAGTTCAGCGTTCTGGCTGGTTACCCGAAGCCACCCAGCAGTGGTCGATGAATGAGAAACCGAACTAACCATATACACATTAGACATTTGTCACCAATAGAACTGGACTGGGCCATATGGCAAAAAAATTAAAATCTCGATTTTTTTTTTTTTTTCAGAACGTTTGACCAATCCTTGAATTTTTTTTTTATTATTATTTTTTGAACTCCAACTTTAAAAAATGTAACTACAACATGATTCAAGTAACTTTCTTTATTAACCCTCTAGTTAAAGGTGGGGTAAGTGATTTCTGGTAGCCAATGTTGACATTTGAAATCACCAAAACAAACACGCCCCTACCCCAAAAGCGTCTTACCCCTATTTTGATAGCTCCGCCCCACACATACGTATGCAACCCAGGCAACGATTAGTTCTGTGAAACAAAGCAAAACCAATGTTACACCATGGCGCGACGCGACAAAATACTATAGAACTCATAATCAGTGATGCTGTCTACACCATAGAGATATATAATATATATATATATCTATGGTAGGCCTGTCACGATAACAGCTTTTTGTTGTGCGATATATTGCCCCAGAAATAATTGCGATAAATGATATTATTGTCATTTTAAAGCCCATTTTATGCCACTGAATATATAATCATAATGTAACAGCATAATAATGCAAGAAGGTCTACACACTTCCAAATGACAACAAACATTTAATTTTTAAGAATATTTAGATCGTGGAAATTAAGTATCAAAATATTAGATATCTTAACAAACCTGAATAAATAGTAAATAAACATTTTCTAACAAAAAAGTGCAAAGTAACAAGTAGAGAAAAAAAAGAAAAATGCACAGAATCAAGGACCGGAACTCTCCGTTTTTATATATATATATATATACATACACACACACATACATGCATACAGTGCCGTTCAAAAGTTTCAAATCAGTAGGATTTTTAATGTTTTAAGGAAGATTCTTTTGATCATTAGGGCTGCATTAATTTAATCAAAAACTGAAAAAGAGACAAATTTTGTGAAATATTATTTAAAATAAGTTTTTTTTTCATTTTGATACACTTTAAAATATATTATTTCTGAGATGCGCAGCTGTATTTTCAGCATCGTTCCTCTAGTCTTCAGTGTCACATGATCTTCAGAAATCATTCTGATATGCTGATTTGTAATCAATATTGGAAACAGTTGTGCTGCTTTATTATTATTATTATTTGTTTATTTTTTTGGACCTGTGATACTTTTTTCAGGATTATTTGATAAATAAAAAGTTAAAAAGAACAGTGTTTAGGGCTATTCAAAGTAGAACTTGTGTTATACACTACTATTCAAACGTTTGGGGTTAATACATTTTTTCTTTTCTTTTTTTTTTTTTAAGAAATTAATACTTTTATTCAGTAAGGATGTGTTCAATGGATAAGGGATAGTAAAGACTTTGTTAGCTGTTTTGAATAAATGCTGTTCTTTTTAACTTTTTATTCATCAAAGAATCACAACAGTTTCAACACCGATAATAAATCAGCGTATTAGAATGATTTCTGAAGGATCATGTGTCACTGAAGACTGAGTAATGATGCTGATTAAAATATAATTTGTGATGCAGCAGTTTTCAAGTATATTAAAATAGGAAATCAATATTAGAAATTGCAATAATATTTCACAATACTACCTTTTTTTTCCTGGTTTAAAAAAAAAAATTATCATCAAATAAATACAGCCTTGACGAGCATAAGAGACTTACTAAGTTTTTACATTAAAAAACATAAAAAATGTTACTGATCCCAAATTTTTGAATGGCAGTGTATATATAAAACAGTATACAAAAATCAAATTCCTAATTTTTGATGCCATTATTTTGTGTGTACATATGTATTTCAAGTATTGAGCATCAGATTTCTGTTTTTTGGTGTTAATTGTAAAACGGTCATGAGTTACAATAGTAAAGTTTTGATTTTGCTTGTCTGGAGAGAAGAATTTAAATATTTGTAGGATTTTGTTTCACAGGTTATGGAAAACTTATGAGAGCAATTTAAAATTGTGATTTTTTTTCCCATGCTGTAAAAGTCATGGAATTAATCAAATAAAGTCATGAATATTTATATAGTCAGTATAAACTTTTATATATATTTTTGGTTTGAAGTTATGAATATTTTTATAGTTGGTATGAACTTTTCTAGTTATGCTTACATTGAAATATTGTGATCTAGGATTTAAATCTATTGCATATATGTTGCTGTTTGTGAGATCAGTCTCTATTAAATGGTTTTTAATATAGCAAAACCCTATTTGTAAGTTTTCATGTGTTGTGACCGAGGCCTCTTCAAACACTTGATCGCAGCAAAAATTTGTTTATGGACAAAGTTTTGAAAGCATTTCAAGGCCAGGCTGTTGTGAAATGCAGCATTGTGCATTGGAGTCTGATGACATGTAGAAAGGTTGATAAGAGCTTCACTGGTGCGTGATAGTTCAGCGTTCTGGCTGGTTACCCGAAGCCACCCAGCAGTGGTCGATGAATGAGAAACCGAACTAACCATATACACATTAGACATTTGTCACCAATAGAACTGGACTGGGCCATATGGCAAAAAAATTAAAATCTCGATTTTTTTTTTTTTTTCAGAACGTTTGACCAATCCTTGAATTTTTTTTTTATTATTATTTTTTGAACTCCAACTTTAAAAAATGTAACTACAACATGATTCAAGTAACTTTCTTTATTAACCCTCTAGTTAAAGGTGGGGTAAGTGATTTCTGGTAGCCAATGTTGACATTTGAAATCACCAAAACAAACACGCCCCTACCCCAAAAGCGTCTTACCCCTATTTTGATAGCTCCGCCCCACACATACGTATGCAACCCAGGCAACGATTAGTTCTGTGAAACAAAGCAAAACCAATGTTACACCATGGCGCGACGCGACAAAATACTATAGAACTCATAATCAGTGATGCTGTCTACACCATAGAGATATATAATATATATATATATCTATGGTAGGCCTGTCACGATAACAGCTTTTTGTTGTGCGATATATTGCCCCAGAAATAATTGCGATAAATGATATTATTGTCATTTTAAAGCCCATTTTATGCCACTGAATATATAATCATAATGTAACAGCATAATAATGCAAGAAGGTCTACACACTTCCAAATGACAACAAACATTTAATTTTTAAGAATATTTAGATCGTGGAAATTAAGTATCAAAATATTAGATATCTTAACAAACCTGAATAAATAGTAAATAAACATTTTCTAACAAAAAAGTGCAAAGTAACAAGTAGAGAAAAAAAAGAAAAATGCACAGACTTATCTTTGGAGACTTTTCTCATCTACAGATTTTCTCTGTAAATTAAGGGCGCACACTATTGCTGAAAAACACAATCACTACTTAGCAGTCAGATGTCCGTATGCACAAAGACACAGATCCCTAAACAAGACCATATCTGCAGATGAAACTTTTTTTGTAGAAGCATTTTTTTAAATTTTAACTAGCACCGACTACACCACGTTGCAAAAGACACGGGCGCAAGTGGAATGCAAAAAAACATGGTGACATTAATTTTTAAGTAAATATAATGGCCGATATATTGCATCACCAAAAATTATCGAGGTCATGTACATATATTGCGAGATAAGTCGATATATTGATTATTGCGACAGGCCTAGTCTATGGTCTACACTGGATGCGGCGCAGCACAACAAATCCCCGACAGAAAACTGCTGCTGCGTTCTATTCATGACGTATTGACACAAATTTCAAATGATTTTCAGCGGTCGCTTTGTCGCGTCCAGTGTACTAGACAGACTTTAGCTGTTGCGGCACAGACACGGTGTTACTCACCTATCGAGAAGAAACAAAGCAACCTCGGCGTCCGATCACAGGCCTTCTGCTCCTTGAGTTCTCTCCAGCGCTGGAAAGCTCATCCGATATTTACACGGGTCCTACTTCTTTCCTTATCGTTCCGCAGACATTTTCCTCTTTTGTTTTTTATCCACCGTCTCTATCTTTCTGTCGCTCGGCTCTGCTAATGTCCGTCCTGTGCACTGAACTCTCTCTCCTCCACATCATGAGTAGACACGCCCCTTACTGCTGATTGGCTACAAGTTTGTTTTGCTATTCGGCCCGAATCAGTTTTCTAAAGCGTTTTTGAAAAATCGCTCACCCCACCTTTAAAGAAAATTCTGTTCCAAGTGAACCACACATGAAGTTGTCAACATGATGTAAATGTTAAACAAATCACTTGTTAAATATCTTTAACAACAACTACATCTTGTACAAACTTGTCTTATACATACAGTGGGTACGGAAAGTATTCAGACCCCCTTAAATTTTTCACTCTTTGTGATATTGCAGCCATTTGCTAAAATCATTTCAGTAATTTTTTTTTCCTCAATGTACACGTCTATGGTCTACACTGGATGCGGCGCAGCACAACAAATCCCCGACAGAAAACTGCTGCTGCGTTCTATTCATGACGTATTGACACAAATTTCAAATGATTTTCAGCGGTCGCTTTGTCGCGTCCAGTGTACTAGACAGACTTTAGCTGTTGCGGCACAGACACGGTGTTACTCACCTATCGAGAAGAAACAAAGCAACCTCGGCGTCCGATCACAGGCCTTCTGCTCCTTGAGTTCTCTCCAGCGCTGGAAAGCTCATCCGATATTTACACGGGTCCTACTTCTTTCCTTATCGTTCCGCAGACATTTTCCTCTTTTGTTTTTTATCCACCGTCTCTATCTTTCTGTCGCTCGGCTCTGCTAATGTCCGTCCTGTGCACTGAACTCTCTCTCCTCCACATCATGAGTAGACACGCCCCTTACTGCTGATTGGCTACAAGTTTGTTTTGCTATTCGGCCCGAAT